GAACATTTTGGAGGATCTGGAAACGCTTCGGCTCTTCTCCCGAGTGGTTCGTACTTCGCTATTTTTGAATAATATATGTCCGAATCACAGCTGATTTTCATGCACTTTTGCAAAAATCGTATATAAAAACGCTATGTTGAAATCAAGCTTATGTGCGTGTGTCTGCACGATTATGAAAATTAGGAGATCTAGTTTTTGAGGATTTAGTCCCTTAGCTGTATGCACGCCGAGGTCCTCATGCCAGGTACAACAGCGCTCTGACCCATATTTTACATTTTCAGTGATACGCTCAATGAATAAGGCAAAAAACCATCGTAACAGGATAAAAGAATAGAGGGGTTATGAAAGGCCGAACAAAAAATTGAACGGTCCAAATAGGGCCGAAGAAGAAAGGTGGAATTGACGAGTGATTGTTTACGGCCGTTATAGGAAATAACTTGGCATACAGCCAAGAAATATTTGGGTACGACTGAATTCTTTAAGTTCTAAGCGTGAGAGTGCGAAATTTGCTAGTGAAATGTGATAGGGAGGGTAGTTGGGTTGTGAATGTGTAACAAAACTTAAGAAATGTTGAATGATCAGAACGGATGTTCGTTTTGTCGCATTCATCGAATGTGAACCTGTATTAGCGAAAACACGAAAACACGTAGCAGTGGTCATGCTTTGAATTGTTTTTTTTTTTTGCGGTAAAAATTGGATGTTTCGCTGAACTGCCTTTTTTATAAGAATCGGGAGCAAAGTTGAAATTCTTCTGGTTTTTTATCGATATTTTAGTCATACGTCGATTACGGATATATCTATGCCTAACCCTCTTTTAATTTTCTTCTTTTTATGCATTTTTTGCAGCTATGCAATGCAGAAAACGCATATTGACGAGGGGTTGTCTGTTTGTCTGTGTGTCTGTATGTACGTCTGTACCGATTTTTCATCTCAATGCATATAAAAGCTGCAGGGTTGAAACTGTATATGCACGTACGGGCTCCAGTCCCCAAAATGGGTGCCCTTACCTGCGTGGTACCCAAGTAGGAGCCCGCCAAAGTTTTTTACGGATAAGCTGCTAACTCGAGAATCTGAGAAGCTAGAAGGCTGAAATTTTAAGGGGATGTTTCCCGTCCTAGTGGGTATGCATGTGCTCAAATCCAGCCCGTGGGTAAGCGTAGTATTATGGGTCCGTGAAAGTTTTCTTGGGATAAGCTGCTAACTCGAGAACCTGAGAGCTAGAAGACTGAAATTTTGAAGGGATGTTTCCTGACAGTCCTGGCGGCCAGTCTGAAATTCTTCTAGCTAGAAGCATCTGCCGAAAAAACCAGTGCAGTTAGTGACAAAAGTTTGCGGGGAGCTATGCAAAAAACGCATCTTCGCACGGGCAGCCCGCGCGTTGGCCAATTATTTTACTCTGGCATTTTTATTGTTTTCGCCGATTGTTCCGGAGTTTTGTTAAAATTTGTGAAAACAGTAAGATTACCATGGCGGAAAAAGGAGCATTAAATTATCGTTTAGATATGAGTATGGATACAAATATCTCCTCTTTCTCGCAATAAGTTTTTATGCTATTGCCCTTTTTCCCGTTCTGCACGATAACAATTAATGGCAAAAATATATGACAAAAATATGAGTTATTATGATTCTTTTTTTTTTTTTGGCTGATAAGGGGAGTGCGAATTCTTTAATCCTGCTACCGGTTCCATATTACCTTCTGTTTTTGTACGGGTCGGTGTATTTTTCTTGAACTCACAGAAAACGCATCAAAATGTACCTCAGTGATGGCGTTTTGAAGCTTCGATTACATTTTGACTCGGCTTCCATGGCTCTTTCTTTCCTTTATATTTTTGTACTACATGTTCAGATACCGGAATATTGCCGTTCGAACGATGAAAAAGAAATTCAAGCAAATTTGTTCGAGCTAATATTTGCATTTGATGAAATTGTTGCACTCGGATATCGCGAAAATGTCAATCTCGCGCAGATTCGTACATTCACTGAGATGGATTCACATGAGGAAAGAGTGTTCAATCAAATCAAAATTGTACGTTTTTTTTTTCTCAGTAGGACGCTGGCAGACATAATTTAGTAATTTAGAGCCTCGTTTTGTTTGTGATGATTATAGGCGCAAGAACGAGCGGCCAATGAGCTAATGACGCAAAAAGCGATGGAGCTGAAGAAGCTGAAGGCCGAACAACGAAAAACTGGCCGAGGTAAATTCCAGAAAATTCGTAAGGTTTAGGAGAACTTGAATTATTTACGCTCATTTCGAGATTTTACGTTTTCTCACAATTATTTTCGATTCTCTCATCCTGGTATAGCGCCATGGCAAGTAGTACTCCTCTAATACGGGAATTTGTGTGTTACATTTTGCGAATGAAGCTTTTTTTGATGGCATTTGATGCTGAAACTAGTCAGGGATTCGTTAAAACGTCATCAGATTGCTTCTAAGCAACTCTCGAAAAAGGCATTCACTGGTAGATTTGGTTACTGTTGGCGCTTGTTTTCATTGAGGCTACGTCCGAGTTCCTCTGCCTCTCAGGGAGGATGAATATGCCAGGAGTTTGTCTTTTGACGTTCTCATTCGCGGTCTATGTGTACAGAACCTGCTACTTCAAAATTTCTGCTAATTTAGCTAAAACAGATTCAAGGTTCCGTTGTAAAACTCGGCCCAGGCAGGCCGGTCAATACACACCCACTTTTGGATCCGAACTCAAGTTGCGAAAATCACGGTACCGTTCTTGATTGTCTAGATGTCGCCATTGGCGGGTCCTGGGCGGGGGGGGGGGG